AATGGGAAGTTAGGCTCTTTCTACAACGGGGTAAACCAAAGGAGCTTTTAAACCCATAGGAGGCGACTCCCAGTGGAAGGCAACAGCCTAAAGACTCCGGCTGCCCCAGGCCCTCAGCCGACCCAAGAGATCAGAGAATCAGTAAGGCGTATCACAGCCGCGTGCCCCCACCTGTCAGCTGGATTAAACGAATGAGCCAACAAATAAGTCCCGAGTGCAGACCCTGTTTCCAAGTTACTTCACCTGTATAGTTGGCCCTTGAACAACATGGGTTTGAACTGTGCGGGTCCACATACATGCAGATTTTTTTCAGTAAATCTCTTAGAAAATTTTTTGGAGATTTGCAACAATTTGAAAAAACAGACGAATCGCGTAGCAGAGACATTTCAAAAAAACTGAAAAGGTAGGTATGTCATGAACACATACATATATGTAGATACTAATCTACTTTGTCATATACTGTCATAAATATATACACATCTATTATCAAAAGTTAAAATTTATCAAAATGTACGCACACAGGAGACGAACCATGAGAGACGATGGACTCTGAAAAACACACTGAGGGTTCTAGAGGGGAGGGGGGTGGGGGGATGGGTTAGCCTGGTGATGGGTATTAAAGAGGGCACGTTCTGCATGGAGCACTGGGTGTTACACGCAAACAATCATGGAACACTACATCAAAAACTAATGATGTAATGTATGGTGATTAACATAACAATAAAAATTTAAAAAAAAATACCCACACAGACATTTGCAGAGTACACATGGTGCCATGCGAGTAGAGAGAAAGGTAAACAAATGTAAAAGTATCGAATCATAACCACGTAAAATTAACTGCTGTAATAATTTCCTAACCACCTCTCATCGCCATTGTGGTGAGCTCAAGTGTTGTGAGCATCTACCTAAAATGCCGTGAGGGGCGGGGTGGAGGGGGCGCCTGGGTGGCTCAGTCAGTTAAGCATCTGCCTTCGGCTCAGGTCATGATCCCAAGGTCCTGAGATCAAGTCCCGCATCGGGCTCCCTGCTCAGCGAGGAGTCTGCTTCTCCGTCTACCCTTCCCCACTGCTCACGATCTCTCTTTCTCACTCAGATAAATAAAATCTTTAAAAAAACGTGGCGCTAATCATCTCTGCATGAGCAGTTCATCTCCAGTAAATTGCGAATCACAGTAAAAAGGGGTCTCTTGCAGTTCTCACTATCAGTAGTTAAGTCTGGGGGGAGTCAAAAGTTACATGTGGATTTTCTCTTTTTTTAAATTTTTATTTATTTATTTTTAGAGCAAGTGTGTGAGTGGTGGGGGGAGGGGCAGAAGGAAAGGGGGAGAGAGAGAATCTTAAGCAGGGTCCATGCCTACCTCAGCACCCAGCTCAGGGCTCAATTTCACAACCCTAAGACCATGACCTGAGCCAAAATCAAGAGTCGGATGCCTAAGTGACCACCACCCAGGCGCCCCTGGATTTTCAACTATACATTGGGGTCAGTACCCCATCCGCCTCACTGTCTAAAGGTCACCTGAGTCTTGGTTTCTCGTCTGTGAAATGGGAATAATCCTATCTGAATAAACATGTCTTACTTTGTTAATTTTTGTTTTCTTTTTAACGCCATACCCAGTGTTGATACAGTTCCTAAAAATAGGCTTTCTCATGTACTGCTGGTGGGAGGGTAAGCTAGTCTAAACCCTCTGGGGTATAGTATAGACTGGCGGTACCAGTCAAATCCCTAAAAATGTGCCTGTCATCTGGCTTAGCTATCTCACGTCTGAGAATTTATCCTCGGAATTTATCCTAATCAGAACTATGAACAATAGTCTGTCTGTAAGATCTTTATGCCCACATTATTTCTAATTTCAAAAAGGGAAAAACATGAAGTGTCCAGAAGGGGTATGTTGATTGAATTAATTGTGGTATATCCAGAGATATACCACGTAGGCCACTATGTACTATTAATGATGATGATACAAAAGAATTCTGAGTGGCACAAGGAAATTATTAAGAAATACTGAAATAAAGTAAGGAACAAAACCACAGTTCAGTATGTTCTGTTATTTTTAAATGACAAATACGTCATTTAAAAAAGGCAAAGAAGATATAAACCAATATGTTTCACTGAGTAATTTAGAATATCGTATTTGTAATCTTCAGTAGTTCCAAATTTTCTGAAAAGAACAGATACTACTTCTATAATAGATGTTTTAGGAAAACAAAAGCATCACAGGAAAGTAAACTTCACAGAGTTTGCAGTTGGAGCACCTTTGCCCATAATGTGAGAAAACCATGAAGTTCACCGATTCAGGCCTCCTTGTACCAGGAGGAAAAATGTGTCCCTTGAGCCTCCAGGTGCCGGGGATGGTCGCGGCTACCTGGGTAAATAGCCTCCTTTTTGCTTATGTAGCTTGTCAATCTCCCCAGTTTCCATCCATGCCCCTGAGCACACTGATGGAAACACCAAAATTAAGCCTCATGATTTTCTGGGATGCCTACAAGGGTCAGAAACTAAACTTCCATGTGAAATTGCCTATCTCAATAAATTAAATTCATGTGTGCTTTTCTAAAAGGGCTTTTCATAACACTAATACCTTTGAATCCAACTGGCTTCCACAGACCTAGGAGAAGGAGCGAACAACCTTTTTTTTTTTTTAACACAAGGTCCAATTCAGGAAAAATAAAAATGTTTATGAGCCACATTTTTCTCCCACCCAAAATAAAACTCGCTTTTTTACAGTCCCATAGGAAAAAAACAAAACAACTGTTCTTAGAAGCTATAAACGACCTTATTGCAAGAAGGACAACAGTTGTAACATTTTCACTGCTTTTTGGCCATCTTTTTGTGGGCATAGGTGAGATGCAGCAGCGCAGAGCCATCCTCCTGATTTTTCATCTGGAGAATGGGGCCACTTAGCGTGGATGTGGGCTTTCTCTGGCAGGAGCAGAGGCACTGGGCGGAGTTGTCAGGGTGGGATGGACTGGAAGGACAAGGCAGGATGAAAGTCCGAGGGGGCCCAAGCGATGCCGTGGGAAGGAGGGACCCCATGCTCCAGAAGAGGTAGCCAGGAGGCAAGGTGGAAATTCACCATCCACATGGAGCGTGCTTGAACAAGCATCTTGGCAACAATGTATCGGCATATGTTCTCTTCTCCATGAAAACTCTTTCTTGCAGGGCACCCAGGTGGCTCAGTCGGGTAGCCTTCGGCTCAGGTCATGATCCCAGTGTGCTGGGATTGAGCCCTGCATCAGGCTCCCTGCTCGGTGGGGAGCCTGCTTCTCCCTCTCCCTCTGCTTGCTGCTCCCCCTACTTGTGCTCTCTCTGTCAAATAAATAAATAAAATCTTTAAAAACAAAACAAAACTCCCCCTCTGCTGGGTTCCATCTTCAGGGGTGGTGGCCACAGGATCTGATCTGATCGAGTGGAATCATTGAGCCCCATGCAGTTGTCTCGGAGGCGGAATTATGGCCTCCATAAGGAGAAGGCAGGCTTGAGGGACCTGCTCGGGTTTCTTAAGAAAGAGTAAGTAGGGGCGCCTGGGTGGCTCAGTCAGTTAAACGCCTGACTCTTGATCTCAGCTCAGGTCTTGATCTCAGGGTTGTGAGATGGAGCCCCGCGTTGGGTTCCAAGGCGTTGGTCATGGAACCTACTTAAAACAACAACAACAAAAAAAACCAACAAATAAACAAGCATATAACCGGGAACTTATAGATCCGATTCAACTACGCTCTCAAAAAGTCTTTCACAAGATTCCACAGAAAGTACACCTTAAAAAGTGGGCTGTGATGAGAATCGGTCTTAGAATTGTCACTGCCAGTGGAGAGTTGTATTTGAGGGTTAACCACTGCGTATATAACATCGTAGGACTCCCCTCAAAATCCCATGTCTCTGAAGCCAGCTGTGGCATGGAAGGAAACTCAACTGGAAGTGCCCTGTCACCACGGAGCGGCCCCCTGGAGTTTCGCTGTTGGCACCGCGCTGGTCCCATGCTGAGCCTGTCATTCATTACAGATAGATACACCCAGACACACGATCCTTACCCATTACTGCTAATTGGGTGATGTTTTTCAATAAAGTATAAATACACGGCCAGAAGGGCTTCCAGAATTGAGACACTCGTTCCTGCCCAAATGTTACAGTATTGTGTTGCGGGCGGTTTATCTGTAGCTGTCACATCCCTCTCTCTCTCTTTTTTTTTTAAGATTTTATTTATTTGAGAGAGAGAGGATGAGATAGAGCATGAGAGGGGCGAGGGTCAGAGGGAGAAGCAGACTCCCCGCTGAGCAGGGAGCCCGATGCGGGACTCGATCCTGGGACTCCAGGATCATGACCTGAGCCGAAGGCAGTCGCTTAACCGACTGAGCCCCCTGGCGCCCTCCCTCTCCTTAACTGTAAAACGGAACCCTGTGCTGGGGCGCCTGGGGGGCTCAGTCGGTTAAGCGTCTGCCTTCAGCTCCGGTGGTGATCTCAGGGTCCTGGGATGAGCCCCGCATCAGGCCTCTTGCTCAGCGGGGAGCCTGCTTCTCCCTCTGCCTCTGCCCCTCCCCGGGCTTGTGCCCTCTCTCTCTCATAAATAAATGAAACCTTAAAAAAAAAAAAGCAACCCAGAACGCTGTGCCAAATAGGCACTGGTCTGGGTCTGTCCTCACTTTGGCCGGTGGGGGAGAGCAGTCCACCATCTCCGGGGTACAGATGAGCGGAGTGCCGCTCAGCACCCGCAGCCAGGAAGGGGCCCAGCCTGCGTGCGAATGCAGGGCCGTCTAACCTCGACTCTTTAACTTCATCCCCAGACGGGAGCTGCAACAGCAACAGCCAGAACGCCTGCAGACACGATCCCTCCCGATGTTAGGTGTCGCAGAGAGAATGCCCCGTAACCGGGAGCAAGGCGGGCCAGCACGCCGCCCCGGCCCCGCCACTGGACCGGCGGATGGTTCGCTCCGACGGCTCGGGCCGCGCACGCCGCATGCTTAAGTGGACCGGACAGTGATTGCTCTGTGTTCGCTGCTCTCTTTCAGCCCTTTGCTAGCTGTGACCTTTGCCACTTGCTGTGCTGTTCCAGGAGTCGCCCTCCTGACCTGGGGGGTGAACCCGCTCACGGGAGCCCTGGGGGTCTTCAACATTTTCCTGTATACTTGCTGCTACACGCCGTTGAAGAGGATCAGCATCGCCAACACGTGGGTGGGCGCCGTGGTCGGGGCCGTCCCGCCCGTCATGGGCTGGACGGCAGCTACTGGCAGCCTCGACGCCGGTGAGTATCTCGCGTCTCCTCTGTCCACTTGGGCCCGCAGGCGCGTGGCCGGGTGCCCGAGCCAAGCCCTCCGTAGCGCCCCCTGCCGGCGAGCACGTGCCAGTCAGAGGCATTTCCCGAACTCTAGTCCGTGCTGGTCCATTTTAGTCTGTACTCACTCTCTCGGCAAACGGGCGGATGCGGCGGGCTGAAATACTCTGAATGCAGAGCCGAAGGGAGTCCGTGTCGTCCGACTTCCAGGCGAGCGTGCGCTTTCCAGGGTGGGGAACGTCTGGGGGAGAAGCTAAAGGAAAAGCAGTGACTGCACAGGTGGAATGAAAAGCAGGTACCTAAAAATCACGAATCAGGTTGGGGCTGATGATTCCTTTGGGGTGTCCTGGCATGGTGTGGCGGGGGGTGTCTGGGATGAGGCCTCCAGCTCTCCTCTGGAAGCGGATGATCCGTCGTGGGCAGCTCCCTGCATCAGCTCTTCACCCCGTGGTGGAGGAGCAGACCCATTTTCATTAGTTTCTAATTTGTTTTTATATGATTTGCTTAAATTGTTCATGGTGTCTACAGTAAAACCATTGAAACAGATCTACTTTTTGGTGGTATGTCACAACGAAATTTGTGGGGTGAAAAGAGCTCATTTTTACCATGTGTAAGGGAAGCTTCACAGTCTAATTAGCCAAGTAATTAGTGTTTTTGACCAACACTTAGGAAGGAAGTGGTGAGGTTTCCTGCAATATATGTAAGTACATATTTTTCACATGAGAGATCAAAAGGCAGTTGACCATAAACCATTGCCCCGTAAACCACATTTCTGAAGCTTTTCATAAAAGCCCTTGCACTCTGACTTGGCAAGCTTACAAAGGCGATTACACCTTTAGCATGATCGTCTCTGAGAACGGTTTTAATATCCTGTAAATGTTGGAGTTTCATGAATCTACAAATAAAATATTCTAGACCGTACATGCTCGTTTGCTCTGCGATAAACCCCCAAGCCTGAATCTCGTCCGTGTGGGAGCCGTGGCAGCTCGGTGGTTGGGAACCAGCACTGCGGGGCAGGGGTGCCCCCGGGTTTGGAGCCCAGCTCCACCTCTCGTTAGCCGCGTGCCCTTTGGAACGTTCTGGACTTCTGTATGCTACTGTCTCCTCCCCTCCCACGTGGTCCCCTCTCATGGAGTTGTCATGAGGACTAAGTGAGTTATTATTAAGTATTCCTCATTTGTACAGTAGATGGATTCATACAGATCGAGAAAGGTCATGAGATTTTATTGATTTGCAAACTCTGAGCGGTTTGTCATTGTTACTTACCAGGCTTGGTGGGAAAGACCCCTGGGTCCTTAGTGATGGCTGTCTTGGGCGAGGGTGGAGAAGGTGGGAAGCATGGGTTTGATATCCCTAGACTAGATGGTGTCTGAATTTACCCCCTCGATTGCACCTGCATACCACCAAATTCCTGGTCAGATTCCTCATCCTAGTTCTGCCTGGAGCCCCAATCTTGACCCAAACGGCTGTCGCCCCTAGCCGTTTTTTTTTATCATAGTAAAACCTAGCTCTCCCCTCGTGTACCTCTCCAGAACTCTCTAGTGATTGCCCAGACATCTGAGGTGGGGCCCCTGAAAGCGACCCGTCTTGTGCAGCGATGTGGTGCCCCAAGTCTTATCTGATGGACACAGCCCCACACCCTGCCAGGAGTGCCAGAACCTTATGCAGGTTCCTCAAACCCAGCCTCAAGGAACCAGGCCCCCAGAACTACCTTTTCTCTCTGGGAACTCCCAGACCCGGAGACCGGTGTCACTGAAGATAGGTGGGGGCAGTGTGGCCCAGGGCCATGCTGAACTTGGTCACCTCTGTCATCTGTCGGGCACCTAGATTCTTGCTGAGGGATAGAGGCCTTTGTTGTACTCCCAGGCGGTTGGTTCCCTCAAGAGGATTTTGAGCCTCAGTGTGTGTTGGCTAGAGTTGCATCCCCAGAGGCCAGAGAAAGAAAGAACTTTGCAGACGTCTTCCCACTTACATGTTCAGGGACGGTGTGGATTTGGTTAAACTGCTAATAGTCATACTTAACATTAAAAAAAAAACTTTTTTAATTTGGGGTATAGTCTTTCTGTAATCCATGTTCAATCATTTGTATACAGATTCCTTAGTGAGGGATAGCTAAGGTCCAGACTTAGGTTGCAGAGTAAAAATGCATGTTTATCTTGAAAAATGAGACCCCATCACCTACCTGAACTGACCCTGACATCAGGCAGAGCCGTCTGAAACAGATTGGTATCACCACAGAGAGGAGTTGGTTGAAGAAGGTTGACCTCTATTACATCCTTTTTCTTCAAATCCTAGAGGCACATGGCAGGGCACACAATTATGGCTTGGTGTACTGCCCCCCGAATTCTAATTCACCCCCAGGTCCAGTCCTACATCTGAAGTCTTATCAGATTTACAGTGTGTTACTTTACATAATGCTTTAAACTGCTTCCAAAAAAAGGTTCAAAGCATTAATTTGCTAGAGCAAACTCGAGATAAGCAGCAAGTCTTAGATTAAAATTGAATGAATGAATGAATGAATGAATCAGTCAATCAGTGAATAAGTTACCTTCCATTTTACAGCTGACAAAACTTGGTTAATCCCAGGTCAGTTGCCAAATATTTATTGAGCCCCAGTTATGTGCCAGGGCCTATAAAGGAGGAAGTGATCCCAAAAAATAAGGTAGAATCTGAGAGAATGTAGTTTCAACATTGATATCGCTGGGATTTTAAGACACTGGGTTGAATAAGATTATATATATATATATATATATATATATATATATATACACACACATAGTTTTGTCACCTTCTAGAACTGTACCATCCATTAGGACACCCACTAGCCACATGTGGCTATTTTAAGTTTTAGTGTCAACGAAATAAATTTAAACACTGAGTTCTTCGGTCCCAGGAGCCATATTTCAGCTGCTCACGGCCACACATGGCCAGGAGCTGCCATACTGGTGGCACAGAGAAGAGCGTTTCCGTCCTTGCGGAAGGTTCGTTTGTCAGTTCTGCCGAGAAGGACACATGGATGTCCTTATGAACCTATGTGCCCCCATCTTCCTCGTGAGTTCGTGCTTTAAATGCTAGGGCATCGAAGGAGACTGCACCTGTGGTCTCCACAAACTCTAAAGCAGTGGTTCTCAAATTTGAGTGCACCTCAGAATCACCTGGCAGGCTTGCTAAAACCCAGGTTCCTGGGCCTGAGAACTTGCCTTTCTAGGAAGCTTGCCAGGTGATGCCAATGCCCCTGGTCCAGGGACCACTTTAAGAACCACCAGCTTGAGAAGACAGAATGGGAGAGAGCTCTGGCTGTCAGGATAGCTTGGAAGTACCTCAGGATTTGGGCAGAGGGAGTGGGGTAGATGGCATGATTTGAGACGCACACACCCACAGAGGTTAGGTCTCTCGTCTGGGTTCTTATCTCAGGGGACATGCTTGCTTTGAAAGCGCCCTGCTGAGAAAGAAAGCGGCCCCACATGTTTCCCTTCTGTGGTATCTCCAAATCCTTCTGTCTTTGACCCTCGGAACCGCAGTGACAGGAAGGAAGAGAGGAGGGTGGAGGAGAGGCAGGGAGACCACCCACTCAGCTCGTCAGCCGGCTTCGTGGTGCAGGTATCAGTGAGGACCTACTGTGTGCTGGGCACTGAGGAATTCGGACTTGATTGAAAGGCACTAAAGACCCCTTGGTGGTTTAAGCAGGAGAGCAGCTGGGCCCGGAGTTGGGGTTTTATCTAACAGTGGGCCGTAGGTGGGTTCTCTTTGGTGTTGGAAAGCAGTACTTTGCTGGGCCCTCCTTGGTCCTCCCAAGCCTGTGTGCCTTCTGTCTCCTCCTGGCCCCTCTCCAGTAGGCCTCTACCTGTCCTGGGCCTGGCCTCCACCCTCCTGCCTTCCCTAGTCACATTTCACCCCTCAAGTGTTCAGTGAAGCATCCATCAGCTCCTCCTTTGCAAGAGCAGCTTGTAAACGCCCGTGAACCTCCAGGTGGGCGTGGATGCGGGGTGTGTGTGTGAAAGGGGGCCGACTCCACTGAGTGCCGTCCATGCCTTTGGTCCCTCAGTCACCCTGACCATGGGAACCTCCATAAAGGCCCCTTCCTGGGCCCGGAAGGCAAGATTGGAACAGCTCGAGGCAGATGGGCGATGGAAAATCCTACAGCCTCCAGACCTGTCTAGTTGAGAAGAAAGATAAAAAAATAAGTGGCCCTAGAAAACAGTTTGCATCCCAGACGGCTTGCAGAGTAAGGAAATGTTAATGTTCCAAAGTACTTTTCCCCTTCTCAGCATCTAGATCATTTTGTGGTTTCTGTGGTGGCTGTAAGGCCAATTAAGACCTCCAGAGGGTCTGAGCCCTGAAGAGAGAGATTATGCTGCCTTCCGTCCTCCAGTCAAGACCGAAAACCTAAAATAAGCATAAGGACATCCCCTGGGGTTCTGATCCCCCCCCCCCCCCGCATAACTACTTTGTTGTTTCTTCACCAGACAGTGAAAAAGCCTTTCTTTTTTTTTTTTTTTTTAAGATTTATTTGAGAGAGAGAGAGAGAGAGCACAAGCAGGGGGAGGGGCAGAGGCAGAGGGAGAAGCTGACTCCCCACTGAGCAGGGAGCCCAGTGCGGGGCTGGATTCCAGGACCCTGGGATCATCACCCAAGCGGAAGGCAGACGCTTAACCCACTGAGCCACCCAGGCTCCTTTCTCATTGTTCTAGCTGCCCCCCGGGTGGCGTGGGTGCAGAGTGAGTGTGCCTGCCCCACCCCGTAGGTACCCCAACACTTGGAGAGGGAGGCCAGATTTGGAGTGGGAGGGGAGCCAAACGGATCACCGGATAGAAACCAGGAAAGCCAAACCAATGTGAGTTCTTGAGATCTGCTCTTTCGCGGCTGATGCTCTTCTAGCTGGAAAGCGCTAGCTTTGCACAAACATCACGCAGTGGGGATTTTGTCCCCAGCAGGGCTGTGTTGTCATACACTGGGCCCTAGCTCAGAAA